CATAACACAAGCTTTAGCTAACTTAACTTGGGCCTAGATGGCGCTGTGTGAATTGTTCTGTCGCCTGTCCGTCCCTTAAATCTTTAAAAGTACGCAACGGATTTTGAAGCGTTTTTTTATAGATAGAGTGATTCTAGAGGAAGGTTTATATATATAATACATGTACACCCGTGCGAAGCCGGGGCGAGTAGCCAGTGCTATATAAAAATAGGTCTGCTTAGCTTGGGACTAGATGGCGCTGTATGAATTGTCTATTGATTAATAGTTGATGTAACTTTGTACGAAAATTGTCAGATGTAACGAAAATCAGACAGAGCAATATGAAATTTTGCACACTTAGTTTAAATAGAGAAGGAGTTCACATATATTACATATACTTGTGTGTTTATGCATGTATGTTCACATATATGCATAATTAAAAACATTACACATACTACCATATATACTCACCACGCATATATACTCTTTTGTTTATTGCCCATCGCCTGCCAGTGCCTGTGTTTATAGAAGTATAGTCTTTGATAACAGAATCTTAATAATGTTCAAACTTACAATTAAAAATAGCTTTTGCCCGCGGCTTCGCTCGCGTTAATTTATTCTCTTAGGGGTGGAATTTATCAAAATCCTTTCTTAGTGGATGCCTACGTCATAGTAGCTTTACGCATGCAAAGTCTCAGCCCGATCGGTTTAAAATTGACAAAGTTTCATAAAAACTTTCATCCCCTATTTTATCCCCTTAGGAGTAGAATTAATCAAAATCCTTTCTTAGCGGATGCCTACGTCATAACATCTGCCTGCATGCCAAATTTCAGCCCGATCCGTCCAGTGGTTTGGGCTGTGCGTTGATAGATCACTATGTCAGTCACCTTTGAGTTATATATAGATTATTTTTGATTGAAGTTAGACTACTGGGCGACCACTAATAATATTATTACATACTAGCTGTGTCCGCGGTTTCACTGCGCGAAATTTATAGCCTATATGTTATCTGATGTATAAGCTATATAACTGTAAAGTTTCATCAAGTCAAAGAAACTTTCGCGTTTATAATATTAATTAGGTAACCGTTGAACCAAAACATTTTACAAAGCAAAGTGTTTGGCAGCTGGTGAAGATAGACATAGACGAATATACAAAGTCTATTTGAGTAAACTAATACCAATAATAGTATCTTATCTCTTTATATATACTATAATCTCATTTGCATTATCGAAATTAGCATATTAAATAAAATATTTAATTAGGCTTGTCTATGAGAGATTGCTTTATGATTTGATGATGCCGCATTGCACGATGTACAATTGTTATTTAAAAAAAATATATTTTTCATGATAAAAAATGATAAAGAATTTTTATAAAGAAAGACCGAGTTGCTAATTAGCATAAATCTAAAATATTTGTAGCTAGCTACCGACCCCGGCCTCGCACGAGTGTATAATACATGTATATACATATAAACCTTCCTCTTGAATCACTCTATCTATTAAAAGAGACCGCTTCAAAATCAGTGGCGTAGTTTTAAAGATTTTAGCATACATAGGGACGGACAGACAGCGACAACGTCTTTGTTTTATACTATGTATGGTTGTACAAATAAAGTAATTCAAAGAGGGAACGCTGCCAGTATCTTCGGTACCTTGCCTAATTGGACTCCTTTTAATAATATATTTTAGTTATTATATTATATTATTTAAGGTTTTTAATTATAGGTTCTTGGTTGTATAATCCTCTTATTAATTGTTTAACCAGTTGGTTGTATATTAAACATTTTTTCTATTTGAGTATTTAATTGAATTAGTGCTAATTGGTAGTTTGTATTCACACACTTAAACTTAAAAATGTAAAGTAAGAATAAAATTATTTAATAGAGCAACACGCAAGTTTCTTGCTCGTTCTTCTTGTGATGAGACAGCTTTCCGAGTGAGCGGTAGTCTAGATCCTGAGAAAGAACATGGGCTACTTCTTGAAGCGAAAGGGTTGTAAGGGGTTGAAAGAGGAGATGAAAGTAGTATGGAAGTATCGTCATTTTTAGAAGCTTGAAACTTATTTTTTGAGCTGTTGATTTAATATGTAAGTAAATATGACATTAAAAGATGTAAAAATTTTACCCTAAATTAAATAAAATAGGGGATGAAAATTCGTCAACTGCCAAGTATACCGCTAGAAAAGGGGCACCTTTCCATATTAATATTTGTAAAAAAAAATCCTGTGGAATACCAACATTTTGTTATTCTCCCACGAGTATCTGTAAAGGTTATAACTTACAATGCTGTACGGCCTGATTTAAATGACTTAAATATTTACATGACAAATTAATTAGTCTATTCAATTATGAACGAAATTATTTCAGTGTTGCCCATTTCACATCACAATACATTTATGAAAATATCATGTATACACGGAAGAATTTAGAGAGTTTTAAAAAACTCAAAGACTGTACAAGTAGAAACTTACGCAATATAAATAAGCTAATTTTACCTAAATGCCGTCTGCACAAAATCAGTAACTCATTCTATGGTAATTGCGTAAGATTTTATAATAAACTGCCAGAATCTGCATTAAATCTGACAGAGAGGCAATTCAAATCTTATATTAAACAATTTTTATGTAAGAAAGCCTTTATATAAGCCTTTATATATTACAGGATAGACAAATTTAGGAAGAAAGAATTATATTTGTTATATTTTTAGAATAATATTAGACATGTAAATAGTAAATATTACAGATTTTTTATACGGGGGTTACTACATATTTTTATTTTATATTGTACTGCATTTTAGTATCCTGCCCGGTTACCATGTGCATGGAGCAAGTAACTTTAATCGGAGAGTCTATCTTAAATATATTGTATTGTATTGTATTGTATGTTGGACTCCAGTCTCCGCAATTAGCCTCTCATTCGGGCCGTTGTGCGTGCAGAGCCAGACTACTAAAGTAGCCAGCCAAGCTCCTCACAAAAGCGCAGAAGACTTCTGGTGTCTTCATAGGCTTCACGGAGCGACCTCACCGTTCCGAGGATTTGTTTTCGTTGTTGGGCCACTGCCGTGCACTCCAGGATTACGTGAGCCGCCGTTTCTTCGGCTTCAAAGCAGCCCCGACAAAGGGGACTGTCTGTAGCATCAATTTTGTATAAGTGTTTGTTTAAGGAACAATGGCCCGTTATTGTCCCTATTATTATTTTAAGGTTATGCCTATCTAGATTAAGTAGACGTGTGTAGTATCTTAAATCTATCTACATATTATTTTTTATGAAAACCCGTACACCCGTTTAAGCGCGAAAAGGTAATAGATAGATAGACTCACTTTTGCATTTTTCATATTAGTGGCAACTCTTGACTCTTAATGATTCACCTCTAAAATTAGTAATTCGTCGTTATAATTTCTTTAGAATATAATAATAATATCTAATCAAATCTATAATAATCGATTGTTATATCAAAATTCCAATATTTAATTAAATACCTGTCTGTAAGAAATATTATAATAGGTTTTTTTAAGTTACCTAGTCAAAGTTCAGTCAGAGTAGAGTCGAAGTCAGAAGTCAGTCAAAAGTCAGAAGACAGAGTAGAGTCAAAAGTCAGAGGCGAAGGCAAAGTCGCTTTTTATTATGCACATCTTACCAATATTATAAACACGGAAGTTTGTGAGTGTCGATGGATGATTATTTGTTACTCTTTTGTAAACTACTGAACTGATTTTAATGAAACATTACAATAATATAGCTTATACATCACAGTAAAACTATTAAACTAGTAATTTATAAACATGTTGTAGTAACATCAGGGGCAGATCTACTTAAGAGATTTTTGGGCTGCAGCCCAGGGCCCCAAGGATACAAAGAGCCACCAGTCCCCACTGAAACGTTATTTAGAATATAAAAAATATCTAAAATTTCAAAATACCTATCATAAGGTTGGCAACACTGAGATCATCAACAATGCAAGTGCGCGTCTATCGAAAGGAACGGGGAATTTCTGGTCGCTTGTTTTTGGTCGGTGCATTTTTTTAGTTGAGTAATATAATTGGGTAGGCCCCTAAGTAGGTTTATCCCAGGGCCCCACATATTCATCCGCCCCTGAGTGACATTAATGTGTGTGAATTGTCTAGGACCAAACACACTAAAAAATCTTGTCCACTTGTATTCAGCTAGTGTACATAAGCAGAAATTAATATTATAAACGCGACAGTTTGTAAGCGTATATAGATAGTAATGTATGGATGGATCTTTGTTACTCATTCACGCAAAAAAACTACTAAACGGATTTTGATGAAACTTAACTGTAACTAGCTGACCCGGCGTACTTCGTAACGCCTAACAGTCGATTCTTTAATTTTTTAGTTTATTTAATACTTATTCTGCTATTCAGGACGCCGGGTCAACTAATAAGATAAAAGAAAGTTCTATCGTCAATAATTACATTATGTCAAAAATTAAAAATTAGAAAGCAACTAAAATTAGTACAAGCAACTATAATAGTTATTAATAGATAGTCAAATAAAAATTACATTTTCATATTTTTACTCATTCGAAGTGAAGTTATATTTTCATTGTAGTATCATAAAGATACAGGATATTCTTTAGGTGAATATTGACAACTTCATCAATTTTAACTTAACTTAACATTTTATTGCACCTATTGCAATAAAATGTCCTGCATGTTGGCCCACAGCAGTTTTATTAGCTCTAACTACTAAATACTAGCCTTGTCTTGCAGTCGTTATCTGACACTGGTAACAGTGAACCTGTTCTGTGATATATTTAACCTTCTATCTAAAGTAAAAGAAAAAAATGAAGTGTAAAAATATATATGGGTTATAATAGTTGTGATTAATAAAAATACAATAGCAAATACTATTACAACCCTAAAAAAATGGCATGAAAATTTTCCAAACTACTTTTGTTGCTCCAAATAAAATCATTTGATATCAATTGTTGTATTGTTGAATATTGTTTAAAAAGTGTACGTAATCGGTTCCTATTTCTAAAATCAATGAGTACAATGGTTCTGGAGGTGGAAGCAATGGTATCAAGTTCACCTTTCCATATGCGCAACACAATCCATTAGCTCCAGTTTTGTATGTATATAAATGCCTTACAATATTGTAAACTGAGTTCATAGGTCCAATAGTAACATTATCAATTGACCTATCGTAAAAGAAAGCAGCTTGACTCGTCAATCGCTCGATGTCTTACCCGAATTCTTTCATCTTTATTGCGATCTTCATGTTCCTGGGCAGCATGATTAATTTGATTATTAATAGAACTTCCAGACCTTAGACTTAACAGTTGAAGATTATTGAGGGTTATCATATAAGAGGCTTGCCTAGTATAAATGAGTTACAAACACGCAACACTTTAAATTTTTAAATTTTTGGCTTTTAGATTTGTAGTAATATTATATATATGCACATCAATGAGACAAGTACCTACCTACATTTCAAGTGACATTTTATCATTGACAACATATTTTCGACTAATATTGACACATGGCTTCCCGGAACCTCTCTACTTACACCTGAACTTTATGGTATGGTATTAAAGTTCAATTTGCCTTTAAGCCGGGTACGATACGGGACAATCATAGCAATTCACTTTTAGGTGTTTTTTTATCTGTTTTTTTTTATTGTATGTATTAATGTAATTAATTTTAGGTAATTGAAAGATTATATATTATATTGAATAGATAAAATAGGTTTAAATAAATATAATATAATATATTTGCCTTTTAAATATCATAATGAATCGTTTGTATGGGATTCTTCCCAGAACCTCTCCACTAACATTTGAACTTAATGGTATGGTATTAAAGTTCAAATTGACTTTTAAGTATCATTAAGAATCGTTTATATGGGATTACAGAAAAGCGTTGTTTTTAGGCATTTTTAGGCAATTTTTTAAATGTTTTCTCTCATTAAGAAACATCCTCGTACCTCAAGGAATATTCTAAAAAAATAAATTATAGAAATCGGTTCAGTAGTTCTCGAGATTAGCGTTTACCAACACATTTAGCGATTCATTTTTATATTATAGATATAGCTACATCAGAATAATACATAGGCTTTAAATTTGAAGCGGATGAAACCGCGGAAATTAGTGTATTTGGGTCTCTATATTTTGAAGCATATATGTACTTATGTTGATATTTTTCTCGACTAAAAATTTATAATTTCCCTTTCTATTTATTTTCAGATGCAGGTATTACGGAAATTTTACTGCATACTCATATTTACACTTATTATATCGGTGAAAATTAATATTGTGGACAACCGACCACAAAACGTAACCTGTCCCTTGGGATATGGATCCATTCTCAACGATTGCGTGACGGATTCAACAGATGATGTCGAACGATCAGATCTCAAGGTATACTATACTTTATTTCTTATTACTAGCTCAGCCAATAAACGTTTCTTGCATGATAAGAGAATAGTGCACCCATCTGCGCTGATGCTACGTTTACATTCAGCCGCTTCCCCTGCCACTCGCGCTGCCAGTCCTTTGACTCGCGTACGAAAAACCGACATTCGAGAGAGCGCCGGGCAGCGCGAGTGGCAGCGCCAATGGCATGGGAAGTGTTTCCACACTTCCGTGCTCACTACCCTGCCAACTCGGGCTGAGTGTAAATTGGGCATGACTGTTTATACTGGCGGGCAGTCCCAGATCTAGAGGGGAACAACATAGGGCCTATTACCCGGGCGGCAAGTTTTTGGCAGCAAAATTCGAACTTAGTAGATGAATCAACACAACTCATCCTAAAGTACCTTTGACAACTTGACCACTGCGATGTCAAGTAAATTATTTTTCGCACAGAGCTTACACTTTTTTCAAAGTATATAAATTGTATATTATAGGTACTTAAATATTATACAGGTGTATATAAATGAATATTGCAAAAATGTTGCCCGGTACGATGGCATTCTGTATTAAAACTCGTTTTAGCATATTAAACTTTTATAACTACTTTTCGCAGTGGACAATTTTCGAGCATAATTTATTTCAATTAAGATTCATTTTTTTATGACTAGCTTTGATTCTTGTTTACTAACACTTGTTTGTTTTAAAGCAGAGATATTTGGACAAAGAGTCTCAGAATGTATCAAACACAATCGATTTGGATGATGCCGTTAGCAGAGACATTGCAATAGAAAACTTATTGGACATCGATACGGTTGGCAATGCAAGGGATGCTGATACAGGTAATTAACCTAAACATATTCTAAACTTATAATAATAATGTACATCTTAAGGTTGCCTGAAAGAAATCGCTATTTAGCGTTAAGGCCGCCCATTGTTACCTCTATATTGTAATTGTTATTTTTTTTTATATTTGGTGTGCATATTAATTTATGTAATTGTTAATTTCTTTCTGTGAGAGGAACAATAAAAAGTTTTTCATTCATTCATTCATACATTTATTTAGCAAAAAAGTGTTAACATTAGTAGACAATATATTAATTTGGCAGTATGTATACCTGTACACACACGTACATATATGTACAAACCGTCACTCCAATATAGTAAAACAATAATTAAAAACCAGTACTACAAAGAAATGATTGCTAAAATGGACTCCACTCAGCATATTGCTGCAGCTGAAGCTACAAACCTGATTTTCAGCGGAGGCCTTATGTAACTTTATGTTAGATAGCTGTTCCCGCGACTTCGTTCGCGTGGAATTTAACTTTATTTTTCTAAAATAAAAGTAGCCTATGTTACTCCTTATTGCATCAGCTATCTGCCAAAAAAAGTCCCGTCAAAATCGGTCCAACCATTTCAGAGATTAGCCGGATCAAACAGACAGACAGACAAAAATTATAAAAAATGTTATTTTGGTGTATATACCGTATTTATATGCATGTAGTAAAAAACGGTTATTTCAATGTTACAAACAGACACTCCAATTTCATTTATATGTATAGATGTATAGATGTTAAATTTAATAAAAAATTATAATCATAGGGCGAGCGCGCGGTGTAACCTAGAATTTAATATAAGTTCTACTTAGCTTTGAACTACATGACATAGTGTGATTGTGATTTTTTTTATTTAATGTTTTACGGCTCTGGAATCAAGTCCTTTTTAGCCCAACATAAAATACAAAAACTTAAAAAAAATTACAATTTCTTCACAGTGTTGGAAATAAATTTATATAGAGTCTTGAAGTGCAGGCCTTGATAAGATCTCTTTTAGAGACTTCGGTACTTTATTACTATGCTCTTGAATCTCGTGAATGAGTCTGTCTAGTCCGTATTTTCTACATTTGAATATAATATGATTCAAATCTTCATCTGAATTGTCGAGGTGTTACAATAATAGAGGTAATACAATACAATTCGAGGTGTAATAATATAGGTGTACAATACAATACATTAAATTGTTAGTTATGTAAGGTTTTATTATTATTTTATTTTCCTAATAAATAAAAAATAAATAGTAATCGTTAGGAAAAATATGTTTTTTTATATAATAATCATTTTCTAGTACCAATTATTTTTTTAATGAGAAATGAGTATGCGATGTCAGACATATGAGGGTACCTGTCACAAATACGAAATTTATATATTTATATTTATACAACATAATATATTCGTTCCGCACAATTATGAAAGAACTCATGAAATATTATAATTTATATATACAAAGAAAAAATATTTCTAAGCAACATTTTTAAGTATGAAACCCAAAGCCATGTTAATTATTCTGTTTTAATACGATACGATATGGAAACCTTCAAGAAAAGATCTTATTCCTTTTTAAAAGGCCGACAACGTACTTGCAATTCCCCTGGTGTTGCGGTGCTCATGGGCGGCGGTAATCACTTACCATCAGGTGAGTCGCATGCACGGTTGTCCCCTGTGTCGCCGTATAGACGCGGAGGAAGCGGGCCATATCAGTGCGAACATAACATCGAGCGTGGTGCATATAGGGTTGCCAGATAGAAAATTATCCAGTCCGGGATAATTCTAGGACAACGTTGTCGGTTCGTCGCAAAAGTAAAAAGTATGTTTTTTAATTGGAGAGGATTTTTTTTTATAATACAAACGGACAAACGTGCATTCGGCTCACCTGATGGTAAGTGATTACCGCCGCCCATGAGCACCTGCAACACCGGGGGAATTGCAAGTACGTTGTCGGCCTTTTAAAAAGGAATAAGATCTTTCCTTGAAGGTTTCAATATTGCATCGGTTCGGAAATACCACTGCTGGAAGGTGATTCCACAACGTGGTTGTGCGTGGCAAAAAGTTTCTAGAAAACCGCACTGTGGAGGGCCGCCATTCATCCAGATGATCAGGATGGTATTTGTATTTGAAAAGAAAATGACATTTATTCTCAAATACATATTTTTATTAGATAGGTATCTAGGTACATAGTAGGTAATTGACGCTAGTTATAATTTTAAGATGCAGTTTAGACTTATAACTTTGCTAGTAAATCTAATAAAATATAAATAAAATAAAACTTGTCAATAAATTTAAACTTTGGTAGAAAATGAAAACTATATTATAAATCACTATCTACTCGCCCCGGCTTCGTTCGGGTGTACATGTATTATATATATAAACCTTCCTCTTGAATCACTCTATCTATTAAAAATCCGTTGCGTAGTTTTAAAGATTTAAGCATATATAGGGACATGTTTATATTGTTACAAAACTCTACCAGTTTTGTAACACGTGTATATGCCTAAGTGCATATGATCATACGAATCAATGCTATCCATAACGACTCGTGACACAGTACATACATTTGCAACATAATAGTAATTCAAAACGCCTTTGTTCGCGTCTACCATACATAATTCTAAACCAAGCTATTGCATTAGTAGTGTAAGATATAATTAATAATAAACGCCGGTTTCTGTCCCTGGGGCCCTGAACCCCGGCCGACTGTGCTTCTGCCGAGGGTATGTTGCCATCTCCTCTCCTTAAGAGGGGAGATGAGAATTTTTGGGAAAAAAAATTAATAATAATAATAATCTCAGGACAATTCACACAGCACCATCTAGACCCAAGATAAGCTAGCTAAAGCTTGTGTTATGGGTACTAGATAACTCATACATATACATAGATATTTTTTTTGTAAATACATACATATTATACATAGAAAACTCCCAAACCGATACAAAAAATCATACTCATGTATACAAATGTTTGTGCCGTGCGAGGAATCGAACCCGCGACCAGCGGTCGTAAAGCGGTGTGCTTGACCGCTAAACCACCGAGGTCGTCAAGATAATTGTATATGCATATTGGTAAATGTAACTGGCTCCTAATAAAGATAGGTGACACTGCATGTTGTCAACTCACCCGGCCGGCCAGCGGTGCTTTTGGGCCAGACGGATAAGGTCTGCCTCGGTGCCATTGTTAGGCAAATTGTAACATCTCGGCTGGAGTTGTACAAAAGTGGAAATTAAAGAAATATAATAATATTAAAGTAAATTAAAAAAGGCACGGACGAATATGTCTGTGGATAATTGTATTTAAAAATTAAAAAAAAAAACCAACCTATACGTTTGAAACATTAATCATTTTTGGAATTCTACAACAAACCTCCGCTGATCCCTAAGTCATTGCATACACAGGATCGATGCTAATTCTTCTAATTCTAAAGGACAATCAGAAGGTATAGTTCTACTTGTAATAGAATAGGTAGAGTACCGAAAATAAAATACGTGGATAAATATGTACCATTCATCTTGCAGTTGTAAATATTTAGAATATATTAATAATAATCTACACATATAAATAAAATTGGACTGTCTGTTTACAACATTGAAATAACCGTTTTTTACTACATGGTTATGAATATAAAGACGGTAGACATACACCAAAATGACATTTATTATAATTTTTGTCTGTCTGTCTGTTTGATCCGGCTAATCTCTAAAATGGCTGGACCGATTTTGACGGGTTTTTTTTTGGCAGATAGCCGATGTAATAAGGAGTAACATAGGCTACTGTTATTTTAGAAAAATAAAGCTAATTTCCACGAAGTGAAGTCGCGTGTACAGCTGGTAGCATAAATAAATTAAATTAGTTAATGCATATTTTGAGATTCTAACAATATTATATATATTATTTTTTCAAAAATTAAACAAAATTTCTTATTAATATGAAATGTAAAATATAAATCGGTACAATTTAATTGTAATAATAAATAATATAGACTGAAATTAATGCTAAAAAACCGCCTAATAATTTAATAAATCTATTTGTTAACTAAAGAGTCGACTACCTCGGAGACTACGATTCCAACGGTGAGCACTACAGAAACAACAACAGATGAGACCACTACAGCTGAAGTCTCCACTACAACTGAAGAGTCGACTACCTCGGAGACTACGATTCCAACGGAGAGCACTACTGAAACAACAACAGATGAGACCACTACAGCTGAAGTCTCCACTACAACTGAAGAGTCGACTACCTCGGAGACTACGATTCCAACGGTGAGCACTACTGAAACAACAACAGATGAGACCACTACAGCTGAAGTCTCCACTACAACTGAAGAGTCGACTACCTCGGAGACTACGATTCCAACGGTGAGCACTACAGAAACAACAACAGATGAGACCACTACAGCTGAAGTCTCCACTACAACTGAAGAGTCGACTACCTCGGAGACTACGATTCCAACGGTGAGCACTACAGAGACAACAACAGATGAGACCACTACAGCTGAAGTCTCCACTACAACTGAAGAGTCGACTACCTCGGAGACTACGATTCCAACGGTGAGCACTACTGAAACAACAACAGATGAGACCACTACAGCTGAAGTCTCCACTACAACTGAAGAGTCGACTACCTCGGAGACTACGATTCCAACGGTGAGCACTACAGAAACAACAACAGATGAGACCACTACAGCTGAAGTCTCCACTACAACTGAAGAGTCGACTACCTCGGAGACTACGATTCCAACGGTGAGCACTACTGAAACAACAACAGATGAGACCACTACAGCTGAAGTCACCACTACAACTGAAGAGTCGACTACCTCGGAGACTACCATTCCAACGGTGAGCACTACTGAAACAACAACAGATGAGACCACTACAGCTGAAGTCTCCACTACAACTGAAGAGTCGACTACCTCGGAGACTACGATTCCAACGGTGAGCACTACTGAAACAACAACAGATGAGACCACTACAGCTGAAGTCACCACTACAACTGAAGAGTCGACTACCTCGGAGACTACGATTCCAACGGTGAGCACTACAGAAACAACAACAGATGAGACCACTACAGCTGAAGTCTCCACTACAACTGAAGAGTCGACTACCTCGGAGACTACGATTCCAACGGAGAGCACTACTGAGACAACAACAGATGAGACCACTACAGCTGAAGTCTCCACTACAACTGAAGAGTCGACTACCTCGGAGACTACGATTCCAACGGAGAGCACTACTGAGACAACAACAGATGAGACCACTACAGCTGAAGTCTCCACTACAACTGAAGAGTCGACTACCTCGGAGACTACGATTCCAACGGTGAGCACTACTGAAACAACAACAGATGAGACCACTACAGCTGAAGTCTCCACTACAACTGAAGAGTCGACTACCTCGGAGACTACGATTCCAACGGTGAGCACTACAGAAACAACAACAGATGAGACCACTACAGCTGAAGTCTCCACTACAACTGAAGAGTCGACTACCTCGGAGACTACGATTCCAACGGTGAGCACTACAGAAACAACAACAGATGAGACCACTACAGCTGAAGTCACCACTACAACTGAAGAGTCGACTACCTCGGAGACTACGATTCCAACGGTGAGCACTACTGAAACAACAACAGATGAGACCACTACAACTGAAGTCACCACTACAACTGAAGAGTCGACTACCTCGGAGACTACGATTCCAACGGTGAGCACTACTGAAACAACAACAGATGAGAGCACTACTGAAACAACAACAGATGAGACCACTACAACTGAAGAGTCGACTACCTCGGAGACTACGATTCCAACGGTGAGCACTACAGAAACAACAACAGATGAGACCACTACAGCTGAAGTCTCCACTACAACTGAAGAGTCGACTACCTCGGAGACTACGATTCCAACGGTGAGCACTACTGAAACAACAACAGATGAGACCACTACAGCTGAAGTCTCCACTACAACTGAAGAGTCGACTACCTCGGAGACTACGATTCCAACGGTGAGCACTACTGAAACAACAACAGATGAGACCACTACAGCTGAAGTCTCCACTACAACTGAAGAGTCGACTACCTCGGAGACTACGATTCCAACGGTGAGCACTACAGAAACAACAACAGATGAGACCACTACAGCTGAAGTCACCACTACAACTGAAGAGTCGACTACCTCGGAGACTACGATTCCAACGGTGAGCACTACTGAAACAACAACAGATGAGACCACTACAGCTGAAGTCTCCACTACAACTGAAGAGTCGACTACCTCGGAGACTACGATTCCAACGGTGAGCACTACTGAAACAACAACAGATGAGACCACTACAGCTGAAGTCTCCACTACAACTGAAGAGTCGACTACCTCGGAGACTACGATTCCAACGGTGAGCACTACTGAAACAACAACAGATGAGACCACTACAGCTGAAGTCTCCACTACAACTGAAGAGTCGACTACCTCGGAGACTACGATTCCAACGGTGAGCACTACTGAAGAAACAACAACAGATGAGACCACTACAGCTGAAGTCTCCACTACAACTGAAGAGTCGACTACCTCGGAGACTACGATTCCAACGGTGAGCACTACTGAAACAACAACAGATGAGACCACTACAGCTGAAGTCTCCACTACAACTGAAGAGTCGACTACCTCGGAGACTACGATTCCAACGGTGAGCACTACTGAAACAACAACAGATGAGACCACTACAGCTGAAGTCTCCACTACAACTGAAGAGTCGACTACCTCGGAGACTACGATTCCAACGGTGAGCACTACAGAAACAACAACAGATGAGACCACTACAGCTGAAGTCTCCACTACAACTGAAGAGTCGACTACCTCGGAGACTACGATTCCAACGGTGAGCACTACAAGAAGACAACAACAGATGAGACAACAACAGATGAGACTAGCTGAAGTCTCCACTACAACTGAAGAGTCGACTACCTCGGAGACTACGATTCCAACGGTGAGCACTACAGAAACAACAACAGATGAGACCACTACAGCTGAAGTCTCCACTACAACTGAAGAGTCGACTACCTCGGAGACTACGATTCCAACGGTGAGCACTACTGAAACAACAACAGATGAGACCACTACAACTGAAGAGTCGACTACCTCGGAGACTACGATTCCAACGGTGAGCACTACAGAAACAACAACAGATGAGACCACTACAGCTGAAGTCTCCACTACAACTGAAGAGTCGACTACCTCGGAGACTACGATTCCAACGGTGAGCACTACAGAAACAACAACAGATGAGACCACTACACTGAAGTCTCCACTACAACTGAAGAGTCGACTACCTCGGAGACTACGATTCCAACGGTGAGCACTACTGAAACAACAACAGATGAGACCACTACAGAAAGACCACTACAACTGAAGTCACCACTACAACTGAAGAGTCGACTACCTCGGAGACTACGATTCCAACGGTGAGCACTACTGAAACAACAACAGATGAGACCACTACAACTGAAGAGTCGACTACCTCGGAGACTACGATTCCAACGGTGAGCACTACTGAAACAACAACAGATGAGACCACTACAACTGAAGTCACCACTACAACTGAAGAGTCGACTACCTCGGAGACTACGATTCCAACGGTGAGCACTACTGAAACAACAACAGATGAGACCACTACAGCTGAAGTCTCCACTACAACTGAAGAGTCGACTACCTCGGAGACTACGATTCCAACGGTGAGCACTACAGAAACAACAACAGATGAGACCACTACAGCTGAAGTCTCCACTACAACTGAAGAGTCGACTACCTCGGAGACTACGATTCCAACGGTGAGCACTACTGAAACAACAACAGATGAGACCACTACAACCGAAGTCACCACTACAACTGAAGAGTCGACTACCTCGGAGACTACGATTCCAACGGTGAGCACTACTGAAACAACAACAGATGAGACCACTACAGCTGAAGTCTCCACTACAACTGAAGAGTCGACTACCTCGGAGACTACGATTCCAACGGTGAGCACTACAGAAACAACAACAGATGAGACCACTACAGCTGAAGTCTCCACTACAACTGAAGAGTCGACCACTACAACTGAAGTCACCACTACAACTGAAGAGTCGACTACCTCGGAGACTACGATTCCAACGGTGAGCACTACTGAAACAACAACAGATGAGACCACTACAACTGAAGTCACCACTACATCTGAAGAGTCGACTACCTCGGAGACTACGATTCCAACGGTGAGCACTACTGAAACAACAACAACGGAGACTACGATTCCAACGGTGAGCACTACAGAAACAACAACAGATGAGACCACTACAGCTGAAGTCTCCACTACAACTGAAGAGTCGACTACCTCGGAGACTACGATTCCAACGGTGAGCACTACTGAAACAACAACAGATGAGAGCACTACTGAAACAACAACAGATGAGACCACTACAACTGAAGTCACCACTACAACTGAAGAGTCGACTACCTCGGAGACTACGATTCCAACGGTGAGCACTACTGAAACAACAACAGATGAGACCACTACAGCTGAAGTCACCACTACAACTGAAGAGTCGACTACCTCGGAGACTACGATTCCAACGGTGAGCACTACTGAAACAACAACAGATGAGACCACTACAGCTGAAGTCTCCACTACAACTGAAGAGTCGACTACCTCGGAGACTACGATTCCAACGGTGAGCACTACTGAAACAACAACAGATGAAAGCACTACTGAAACAACAACAGATGAAAGCACTACTGAAACAACAACAGATGAGACCACTACAACTGAAGTCACCACTACAACTGAAGAGTCGACTACCTCGGAGACTACGATTCCAACGGTGAGCACTACTAAAACAACAACAGATGAGACCACTACAACTGAAGAGTCGACTACATCGGAGACTACGATTCCAACGGTGAGCACTACTGAAACAACAACAGATGAGACCACTACAACCGAAGTCACCACTACAACTGAAGAGTCGACTACCTCGGAGACTACGATTCCAACGGTGAGCACTACTGAAACAACAACAGATGAGACCACTACAACTGAAGTCACCACTACAACTGAAGAGTCGACTACCTCGGAGACTACGATTCCAACGGTCCAACGGTGAGCACTACTGAAACAACAACAGATGAGACCACTACAGCTGAAGTCTCCACTACAACTGAAGACACTACCTCGGAGACTACGATTCCAACGGTGAGCACTACTAAAACAACAACAGATGAAGTCTCCACTACAACTGAAGAGTCGACTACCTCGGAGACTACGATTCCAACGGTGAGCACTACTGAAACAACAACAGATGAGACCACTACAGCTGAAGTCTCCACTACAACTGAAGAGTCGACTACCTCGGAGACTACGATTCCAACGGTGAGCACTACTGACAACAACAACAGATGAGACTACAACTGAACAGTCTGAAGTTCCACTACAACTGAAGAGTCGACTCCACTACAACTGAAGAGTCGACTACCTCGGGGACTACGATTCCAACGGTGAGCACTACTACGAAACAACAACAGATGAGACCACTACAGCTGAAGTCTCCACTACAACTGAAGAGTCGACTACCTCGGAGACTACGATTCCAACGGTGAGCACTACAGAAACAACAACAGATGAGACCACTACAGCTGAAGTCTCCACTACAACTGAAGAGTCGACTACCTCGGAGACTACGATTCCAACGGTGAGCACTACTGAAACAACAACAGATGAGACCACTACAACCGAAACCACCACTACAACTGAAGAGTCGACTCTACAACTGAAGAGTCGACTACCTCGGAGACTACGATTCCAACGGTGAGCACTACTGAAACAACAACAGATGAGACCACTACAGCTGAAGTCACCACTACAACTGAAGAGTCGACTACCTCGGAGACTACGATTCCAACGGTGAGCACTACTGAAACAAAAACAGATGAGACCACTACAGCTGAAGTCTCCACTACAACTGAAGAGTCGACTACCTCGGAGACTACGATTCCAACGGTGAGCACTACAGAAACAACAACAGATGAGACCACTACAGCTGAAGTCTCCACTACAACTGAAGAGTCGACTACCTCGGAGACTACGATTCCAACGGTGAGCACTACTGAAACAACAACAGATGAGACCACTACAACCGAAGTCACCACTACAACTGAAGAGTCGACTACCTCGGAGACTACGATTCCAACGGTGAGCACTACTGAAACAACAACAGATGAGACCACTACAGCTGAAGTCTCCACTACAACTGAAGAGTCGACTACCTCGGAGACTACGATTCCAACGGTGAGCACTACTGAAACAACAACAGATGAGACCACTACAGCTGAAGTCTCCACTACAACTGAAGAGT